GAGCTTAGGCCGAAATGTTATAAATTATTGTTATATTTTCAGTACCATTAATTATAATTAACTATTATTTTTGAAGTATTATTTTGATTACGTATCCATCATTTATAATATATAATTTCTACGTATACTTGTTTGAACAACTAAAATTATTCCAAACATATCGTACTACGCATGTATAGCATGCAAAATGTTGGGTCATGTTACATCGACTTTATTTTTTAAAGGTACTACGGTGACTTTTGAAAAATGAGTTTCACTGATTTTAAATGTGTATTACACTATAAAAATGTTATCTTGATATATTTATGTGATTGGCAAAAATAATAACAGTAACAATAATTATAATAATTATGATACGTTTGAATTTGTTTGAAACTGTTTTTTAAAAATAGTATCCAAAATTTTATCGCATTCTCTTTTTATGCTTATTAAACTGACGGTGTACATTAAGTCAGAAAAAATATTCATTAGTATCATTTCAGTTATCAGGTATTTTAAATAAATTAATACTTACAAAGCTTTTGATGCTGAATACTATATCTACTAAAAATTTTAGTTTACTCGCAACTTTCAAACTACATACAATATTAATCGCTTATCCGTCTGTCTAGTTTATGTAAATCGTTTTGGTGCGATTGAAAGCTAACAATTTTCTCAAAACGTCTGTGATACTATATTAATTTCTTTGTATAAGGACTAAATTATTTAAAAAATTACTCGTTTGTATTTAAATTCAGATGAAAAAAAACACATGTTATACGAATCAAAACAATTATAATGCATCACAATTTTATTTATTAATTTTTTAGACCAATGATAAAAAAAAATAAACCAATTTTTGCAATTTGTGCTTTTTATTGATATGTCACAGATTAGATTGAAATATTGTATAAACTCATTAGTACAAATAAATTCCGCTTTTCACAACATTTTAACGATTATATATGAGTCTAAATAGTTTTTATGTACATAATAACTGTCACTATAAAATTAAAAAATAATAATAATAATAGCCCATTATTATATTATATTAGATGAACTAAATTCTATAAAACAAAATAAGGAGAATTGTTATCAACTTTTTACATTTATCGTTTTAAAACCTTTTTTCTTTCTTTCACCACAAAAAAAAAGAGTAAATTTGTATTTAATAATACTAGTACTTTTATCATAGTTAATATTTAATAGCCATCGTTAGTATAATATTATTTTAAAACATTTTTATTCGTCTTATGAAATAATAAGAAATCAACAACAATGAAGAAATAAATAAGAATTTTAACGAAGTATGATAAAAATAAATTATATCTGGTTATTACTAGTTCAATATAGATTTAACTTGAATAATTTTTACTTGCATTGTCTATAGGCTCTTTATGTTTGTTAATTTTTATTCATTACATAAGGCATTTTATTTTTATTTCTTTCATCAATATCAAAACTTATTAATTACTTTTAGAACATGTAATCATTTTTGAAATTAAAAAAAAAAAAAAATAGTTTCATCCTAATATTTCAAAACTTAATTATCTGGTTTTCAATGTCTTGAATTTTTTGAACATTCAATTTAACTTATTCTTCAATATTGTTAAACATTTAAAAATATGTAATTACGTTTCTTTAACGATAACTTTTATCGCAAATCTACTGTTTTCGAAGATTTGTAGTATCATATGATAGTTATACAAAATGTTTATATATTGAATCAATGTTACCTGTGTGTAATGTCTAAACTTTAGTTAATATTAACATTAACTAAGTAGAACTAATATTAGCCAAATGCCTTGGATAATTATAATTATTAATTAACATCCGATTTTGGGCGTTGGGACTTTAACCGAATATAATTAAGATTAACCCTACATGGCTGTGGTTATATATTAATAAACACATATAGTATCTTATTCTAAAGCAAAACAAAGAGTATAACAACAAAACTTTGAAAGTTCCATTTCTTCGGTTCGACCAAAAAAAGTTGGAAAGTTGATCTTTAAGATATTAAGTGTAGATTTTACTAGTAAGTAAAATAATTAAATAGGTATAGTACGATAGTCTATAGTTATACGTCATTGCAAACAAATAAGTTTATACTTTCAGACTACATCACAGCCTATTCAAGACAGTATTTTTATATTTAAATTTTTCTTTTTAATTGTATGACTAGTATTAACTCATAGGCAGCCAGTGGACATTATTAACCTAACGATATTCTTAACATTTAGACGTTGTTTTCAAATTAATAAATACGTAAACATATTTAAAAATGTATATTATAAATTACTAGAAACTCATGAATACTTGAGTTTTATCTTTATTTTCAGATAACAATGATACGGTGACTTGTTCGTTGTTCGTGAATATTCCACCAAGGTAATAATTATATTTTTAATACAAAATGGGTAAATTAATATTTCATGTTTTAATTTTAATACTACTGTTATAGAAGTCCAGAGGTCATCGAAACGGAAATGACTGAAAATAGCCGAACAGTTAATTTTGGAAAAATGTTATGAAGTCAAAGCGTTTTAGAAATCGTTTCCAAAATGATAATGTAGGGGAATGAAAACAATGCGTATTCGTTCGTAGGTCCATGGTACATTTAATATTCATACAAGTACAGGCGATGTATTTATTTTACTCTATGTTAAATAATTATTATTGTCCCTTTGCTCAAATTTTGAAATACTTACGTTGGATTATAATTTGATTTAAAACTACTCAAATATGGAGGTGAGGCATTGCATAAAAATATTCACGAACTGTGCTTGACTATATAGAAGGAAGAAAGACTTCTAGAGGATTAGAACACAGCTATTATTATCCTATTACACAAGAAAGGACACAAATTAGAGTGTAACAATTAGGGGAAAATCGCCCTATTAAATTCAATGTACAAAGTGTTGGCAAGAATTTTACTAAAGCGATTGAAACCTATAGGAGTGCATCAGAGATTATCAATATAGATTTCGGAAAGATAAATCAACGATTGACCAGCTCTCAGTAATCGGACAAGTTATAGAATAGAAATATGAATTTCGATAAAATATATGGCAAGTATTTGTCAATTTTAAAAAAAATCTTACGACAGCATACACCGGTAAAGCTTGTATAATATAATGGCTGAATTTAGATTCCCAGCAAAACTAATAGCATTAACAAAAATGTGTATGGAAGGTACGAAGTACCAGGTAAGGTTAGATCAGACCACATCTGAAGAGTTTCAAGTAATTACAAATTTTAAACATAGGGATGCATTTTCTCGCTTGCTATTCGATATAGTGCTAGAAAAGGTAATAAAAAGTGTACAATATAGTGGATATGGACAGAGGTCGGTGCATCGAAGTTGGATGTGTTAGGATTTGTGGATGATTTAAATCTAATTTTTAACAGCAAAAAAACTATATTGGATAATGCTGCCATATAAATTGACAGCGGCTTTAAAAGTAAATGAAAAAAAAAACCAAAGAAATGGAATTATTGGGAAACGACCATGAAATATTTGCAGTGGAAAGACACAGTAGTTTTTGAAAAAGTGGACCACTTTAAATGCCTTGTATCAAGAGTAATAACGACTGGGGTGTAGAAATAATAAATCGCATGCAGAAAGCGGAAAAGGCTTATTATGCTTTAAGTTTTTCAAATCCAAATTATTCTCGAGAAGGACGAAATTAAGATTGTATATGGCTGTTGTTAGATCGACGATGACGTATAGCTGCGAGGTTAGGTTAGGTATTGAGAAGGATTTGTGGTGCATTATATGATGACGAATTGGAGTGCTGGTGAAGAAGGACAAACGTCGAAATTCGATAAATTATACAAAACACGAATATAACTAACTACATAAAGACCCAACGATTGCAATTGTTCAGACACGTTATGCGAAGAGATGAAGAAAAGGATGTGAGGGCAACCATAGAATACTAACCAAGGGGGAAAAGACCAAAAGATAGACCAAGGAAGCGATGGTTCGACGGGGTAATTCAGGATTTAAGAACACTAGACGTAAAAGATTGGAAAGATATTATCCAGAATAGGAAAAGATGGAAGACTTTGACGGTGGCGGCGAAGACTCTTTGAGTCATAAAGCCAGAAGAAAAAGAAAGAAGAGAATTATAATTCACTGAAACAAGGGGCCTCGCTATAGCATTTATTTAAGAACCAACATTTAGATCATTTCTAATCACATAGTCGCCACCCGAGGTCTATGTGTTAGTTGTAAATGATTATTAGTGTATGTATGAAGTTAATGCGGGTACCACTTCTTTCCGCACCATCATCCAGGTAGTCGTTCATTGTAATCATTATCGCAGTATACCATATTTGTTGAATTGTAGTTATCGAAAATTAGGTACCCATGTTTTGATGTACAACAGAAATTAATAAAAAAAAAAAAAAGCAGCAAATAGTTTGCAGTGCAATGTAATTCGTACTATTATTTATATTATTTTGATTCATGGTGGTCTCTTATTCCTTTTATGAAACCTTTGTGTTTTTTTCTTTTCGATAAAGGAATTTTAGATTTCATTTTATATTTGGAATTCATTTTTTTAATTACAATAATTAAATAGTCTTTACAGAAACAAAGCTGAATAATGACTGAGTAATAAATTCAAATTTGAAATACAGAACGATCATAAAATATAATAACATCCCATATAGGTAATAGACAAGGTTTATCGATTATAATCTAAAAAACCTCGGGTAATAGGTCTATAATATTGGGCGTATGTAAACTCAGCCTCAAGTACCTTTTTTTTATTGTAAACTTCGCCACAGAACAAAAACAAGTAAAATTGGGTACATGTAAACTCCGCCAGCGAAGAAAATCAAATAGTAGTATAAATTTAATACTATATATTATTAAAAAAAAATTATAATATAATATACAATCGTATCGTTCATATTATATATTTAAATCATAGTAAAAAAAATCATGATAAATAATCGTTATTTGAGATATGTCATTTAGTTTTATGTAAGTATGGGTTTGAAATTCAGTAAGAACTTCACTAAAATATGAACATTCGGTTGAATTTTATAAAATTAATTTCTTTGATAACTATGAAAGGATTCACAAGCAAAATACAAAAAATACTGTCGTAGTTCATATATTACATATACCTATTACAAGTAAGAAAAAAAAAACTAGCGGAGTTTACCTTAGATCTTTTATTGCCTTTTTATCTTTTTATCCGATATTCCGGTGGAGTTTACAACCACCCAGGTATACAAAATTATTATCAGGGCACAGAAATATAACTATTTGCTAACATTATTATAGGATACCACGAAATAACGTATCTAATTATATTACACTGTATAGGTTCATTATCTTGACACGACGCGGTAACGGTACGGAGGGCTCTCGCACGCAAATGTCAGAACTAGTGCTCTTGATTTGATGTGGGTAATAACCGGCTACCCGTTTATTCGGGTAATACTCAATTTTATGGGTAGTCAACGTTTTCGGGTAGTTAGTACCCATTACCCAAAATTTTCGGGTACCCGATGGTTTTTGATATATGTACGTAAACGGTTTAACTAAGTCTTAATGGCTAAGAGGTAATCAGTTTTAAATTATAAATTACACAATTATTCGAATAAAAAATATTAAAATATTTCCTCTTAAAAATTAACAAAATTACGTTTTAAAAATAAAATCTTTAGTATTTTATGTGAGTTTATTAATGATCAATAATAATTATTGAAATATAATATCACTAATTATTAGTTTATTCAAGTATAATGTCGAATAACATGTTAAAAGCTATTATAAAGCCTATATTTAAATCTTGCAGTTAACGGATATAATGGCCTTATTCGTTATCTTTTATGTGTATAGATATGCAGATAATTTGCGCCGCGGAAGCAATGCGAAAGCAAATCCCGCGGCGTCGTCGGTTAAAACGAAAAAAAAAAAAAAAGATATGCAGATAATAATAAGTAATCACAATCAGTGGTTAACATACGGGTGGAGGAGGGGTTCAAACCCACCCACAGGGCCAAAAAAAAAAAAGAAAATTGTGATATTATTGATGACGTGTAAAATATTCATAGTTACCTAATCTATAACGGGTAATACCCGTAAAACCCGGGTATCTTGATATCAATATCACTAGTTAGAACGTAATATTGTGATCGTGAAAAAATGTTTATTTTACACTCTAACATACGATTCTAATTCAAACAATACGTCGCAATGATTATCTCGATTTGCATTCTGAAAAATACATTCCTTTTTTCCACAACATGTACGAGGGATCGATTGAAGCACATTTTAAAAATTGTATTTAGTTAATTAAATATTTAAGTTTAAAATTCTGTATTTTTTTTTGAATTTTCAACAATATTTATTGCAATTCGATTTACAAAAATTAAAAATGTGGCTCGATCGTTCCCTTGTACATATTACGGAGAATCCGTATATTTTTTGAGAATGAAAATCGTGATAATTGTCGACACGTAGAATTGGAATTAGAAACAGTGATTGCAGAGAAAGAGGTTAGGTGAGTCTTTATGTCTAGTATTTTAATTCGCAATGGATAAATTATCATGTTTTTTTTTTTTTTACCCATTGAAGGTTACATTTTGATATTTTTTAACCTATAGATCGTATGAAAATTGATTCATGAACTATTTGTAGAATTTCAAGTAGATACTCAACTGCAATTCTTTAAAATAAATAGTCTTTTTTTTATCATCTACTAGTAGATTTCAGGTAAAATAATATAATAATATTAAATAAATATCACCCAATATGTTTAAATATATGGAATCATTATTTAATCGCCTCATTTGATTTGATATCTACATTCGTAGTAACTATTATACTGATAATTGCTAATAAACGATTATTAGCTAAAAAGAGTGTATAAATAGGTAAATTAAGAGTATCAATATTTTCAAAAAGGTATTCCTTATAAAGTTAAAAATAAAATAAAATCAGGGTTTCCTTTAAAAAGAAGTATATGTTGACGTTAATTTTATCTCTTATATTTATAGAGAATAATAATATTTAAATTGTATAAAATATAAAATTTTAAATTAACATATTGAAAATAGATACCTATATTATAATTAATATAAGTTAGGTAAATATAATATGTACACACATTTTAGATTAATGCGGGATTTTTTTTTTAGACCTCGGATTATTTTGAAATTATCCTAGTTATTTGGTTAGAAACATTAAGTCCGATGAATTGTTAGATACTAAAACTTAATACATGACTATTATTGTAAATATTATTTTTCTTTTGAGTTTTATATAATTACGATAATGAATTCAAATGTATTTATATTTATGTACATTTATAACATAATAATAATGCTATAAAATCGAATAATTAACTTGATTGGTGATTATTTATATTATTATTATTACTTTTATTTGATTTCATATATAGAATACTGGTTCTCAATGAGTCTCTCATGCTGGACCCAGAGTTTTAATAATCATATATATATATTAAAATGTTACACACATTAGTATTAAATACTGAAGGTTCGTGGATGAATAATTATACTATTGTACAAATTGAGAGTTATACTCTAAAATTGAACGATTCCATCAATTATCAAGTTCATGAAATGTAAAAAAGGGAAGATTTCAAAAAAGGACAGGTATTTCAATCGGTAGAAGCTTTTGTACTATTATAATATATTTTAAATTACTAGCGATTAATGACATTTGAAAACGAATCTGAGTATATCTGAAAACTAATATTAATTAATTGTTTATGAAATGTTATTTTTAAAAAAGTTATATTTTTATTAATTGAAAATATAACTAATTTTCAATATTTACTATCATCCCATGAGTTTTAAAATGTATAAATTATTTGTGTTAGTTGAGAAATAATATTGCTCATAAATACGTATTTCCTCTATCAAAAAAAAAAAAAAACAAAGCCATCTTTTTAAACATTCTGCGATCCAATTAAATAATAAATAATTATTATATAATCGTTTTTTAAAGTATTAAAATTTGCAATATTTTAAAATAATTATTTTTTGGCAAAAAAATTGTGATTGGGATGTTTTACTTGATTTTCTTAATAAATCTCAGCGTTTAATCAATATTGCTTGTTTAGTTATCTACACATGTTTTTTTTTTAATTATTTTTATATATCTTGGCCTGTTATCTTGAAAAGTTGATCAATTATCAATAATAATTTATCTATTGTCTATTATTTTAGGTAGGTACTTATTGAAACATTACTTTATGAGTAACAAACGTAGGATGACCCATTTATTTTATTTTATTTATTTATTTTTTTTTTTTTGAAACGTAACACATTCCAAATTATAATTTTCCTATTAGAAAATACGATATTTGAAGCATAAAATAAATTATATTCTAATATAGCAACTGATATATAACGTACAACAAAAATATAATGTTACACAGTGGCGTAATTCGGAAAAAATATCAGGGATTGCAAGTGTTACTTAGGATGCACCAACATTATAAAACAATGTTTTAACATAATCATATTATTATATTCTATTAATATGAAGTATATTATAAATCTATATAATTCTTTTTATGTATAAATACAAGTTATTAAAAACTATAAATTTAAATTTTTTATAATTATAATATAATTACAAACGATATTATTTATAATATTATATAATTTATTTTTAAATTAAAACTTCTATGTCATTGTAATATTCTCGATGTTATTATTGTTTCAATTTTCTCACTATCCAGCTTTTTTTATTTCATAATTATTTAACTAAATGTTCCTTATTAAAATTCTTGACTATTAAGTGATAAACTATAAATATGGAATTTTCAGGGGTTACAAAATAATACTTTTGCAACCCATACATTATATTTGGGGTTGCAAGTGCGACCCTTTACGACTTCCCCCCCCCCCCAAATTATGCCGCTGGTGTTATATTATGTAGTTACCACACTAAATTTATGTAATAATTTTTAATAGAAACAATGTACATTTAAATGAACATATTTTTGAAAAGCGTACCTAGTTAAAATGTACACTTTGACTGTAACTATTATTTCTTATTGATTTATTTTATTAGATTTGAAGAAATGTAAGCGTTCCTCATTAAAAATCTAAAATTATTTGCACTTTTTACTAATGTGAAAAATGAGACAATAGAATTATAATCTACATTTTTAGTTCAATTACTCTCATGAATATTACATTCGATTACATGAATATATTATAATTTCGCAATTTTTTTTCTTCAGTTTTTAGTTATCTTTTAAAAAACTCGATTATTTATGGTGTCTTGATCTTAGTTTTGCTGCAAGATCAAGACCAAGACGAAGACTACAATGGCTCTGCAAGACCAAGACTGAGTCTGCAAGACCAAGAACAAAACAAGACCCACTCTGCAAGAGTCTTGCAGTCTTTCAATTTTTATGGTAATTAAAAAAAAAATGTTCACAGAAAAACACATTTAGTGTATGTTAAATGAAATAATTTATTATGAATATAATAAAAATGTAATATTAAATTTGACGTACGACACGGTATTCGGAGAAATAACGAATTATTGAATTATTGAAAACAAGGTAAGAAATAATTAGATATGATATTCACTATGAAATAGTTTTGTAACACATAGTAATTACAGAAACGTAATGGAATTATTTTAAGCCGTTGAATATGAAACAAATGCTGATATGTGAGCACAAAAACATATAGTAACAACACCAAAATCACCAATACAGGCGATACATTATATTTATTAGTAGTAATATTTATTTAAGTTCATAATTAAATCTTTTCATTGAATTTTATACTAAAAACAGGATTTAATTATAGTTGGTACTTGAGGTATTATAGTTTATTGGGTCAACTATCGTGGTATTAGTGACTCGTACACTTTAGTATTTGCGGTAGTAATGATTAAACAATTACTATAATATTTATTAAAACGAGTGTATCTAACAGTAAATTTAGTGACTTTTTAAAATCGCTAGAAGTAAAAATCAGATTTCTGGCAAGTTGAATCATGTTTTTTGTATATATGTATTTATCGTACTGGTTTTATTATATCTTGGAGATAATAAACAATTATCAAATTCTACAAACTCCTAACCTAGACAGGGATATCATTTTTTTCTTTAAATTTCAAATAATGCAAGACTCTTGCAGCAAGACCAAGACTATAATGGCTCCGCAAGACTAAGGATCAAGAATGAGTGTGCACAGTGATGTTCCCATTGATTTTGTTGAGAGTATACTATACCGAGGAATATCTGAACATGAAATGTTTTTATGATTCAGACTGAGGTGATGGTGGAAAAGGGTTGTAAATATTAACTAATTATTGAAATACATATATTTGTATTGCTTACAAAGATAGAAATTAAAATTATTTAAATAAATCGATACCATCATAAAGGTCAATAATTACTTTATATTAATATACTAATCGTCCGACGTAAAACTGAATGTCCATTGCGAAATAATTCCAAAATTAAAATCTGTACACCGCGAAGTACTTGAGACTAAGAGTATATGTAGTACACCCCTCAATATTCAAAATTATGTTGAAAGTATACGGCGTATATGCAGTATACCCCGTGGGAACACCACAGAGTCTGCAAGAACAACACCAAGACCAAGACTACCATAGTCTTGGTCTTGGTTTTCTCATCACTAATCATGATTATCTTATAGTATTTAGATACCGACACAGAGCATAATGTGGTCAGTATTATGTAATCAGCGTTTTTAACATGAAAAAATATGCATGCATATTTGATTAAAAATCATAAAACTATTTGCTTTGTGGAACTTGTACAAAAGTATAATTATAAAACATTTACTATCTACACCATATGAAAACGTTTTGTTTTACTAATCAACTGGTTTGCATTCGAATAATAATGAACACGGTGCAATGATTAACAGACTGATGGGATGGTTCGTTTTCCAGATTTACGAAGTGGAAAAAACTTCGAAACCAAGATTCCAATGTGAAATGATAGTAATATTTTTGGTGTCGACGAAAACATCATCGTTATACCATACAGCAAAGTATTGCTATATAATGAGGTTTAGTACCTTAATGTTAGGTGAAATGAATATTATTTACGTCTGTAACAATAATTTTTTTGTCTTTATTAATAATAATTATAGATAAGGGTGAAAACGAAATTATAAATGTTGTATTTATATATTATGCATGTATGTGGGTATGTGTGTGTGTGTGTGTTTGTGTAATTAAAACAACATGAAGAATACAAGAATACTTAATAAAAATAAATAAATAGTAGATATAACAGGGAGTAATAGATATAATGTTGACAAAAACAATTAAAAAGGAACATTATCCTAATCATTAATAATAATTAAATAATAATAAAAATAATAATAATATTAATAATAAACGAATATTATTGTAATATATAAACCTTTTTATATAGTTTCACAAATCGATGTAGTCAGTTTTCACTAATAAGTTTTACATACGACTCTACGTAATGTTAATGTTAAACTTAAGTACCGATTTTTTTTTTTTTTTTAATACAAATTAAATAATGTACATTAATAATAATTGTAAACGTATATATATAAAATTTCCGCACAAATAATTTATTTTGTAATTCGGTTCACGAACTAGAGGATTGTCGAGAAATCGTAATCGAACAATTACCGTAATATGTAAAGTATACATGTATATAACATATAGACACAATAATGGTGTTATTTAATAATTTATAATAATATATTAAGTTAAAAAAAATCGTCATATATAACTGGTAACGACTGTCAGTTTCTAATTGTATTTTTGGTAATAATAATCATAATCATAATACGTGTGTGTATCACTTCACCGACGGTTTTCGTACACGATCAGTGATGGTCGATGAGGAGATACACGACTATGTACAGTTTCTGTTGATCATAATGTTCGCCAGTGCATTCCTTCTTTTTCTCCAGCATCCGAGCGTTTGGCAATGATACTGCAGCTGACGGTACCACATTTTCGTTTGTTCACCGTCCTGGCCCTAAACAATATTATTGCGAATGCGTTAACACAGGTGTATGTTAGTAAATTTTTTCAGTCTGCCATGATTCTAGATAAATGTTTTCATGAAAATAACGCAAGAACAAAATATCACACGCGTGTTCTATTAATAATATCAAAAAGTACTTTTTTTACCGCTACGCTCCTTCGCTCATGTTACCGTCGAAACTGTGCACGTGGTAATACGTCAATATTCACTAGCGTTTGATGTGTGTTGCTTCGCAAGAAAAAAAAATTCCTTAATATTTTCGTTTAATAAAAATGAGAAAAAAAAGTTTTCATGGACCAACCCATTAGGTACACTTTGACCGTGAAGATTAAACGAAAATATAACGTTGAAATAATCATTCGTATTGAATTAATCAGAAAAACGTAGAAGGTTAATGTATTTGGAAAAATATTGTCCTTGTTCGTTTTTAAATTTTTAGTCCATTGCTAAAATGGAAGGAATAATGTTTCGAGATCTAGTAATACGGTATTATGTCAGAATAGATAGTGACAGTAAATAATGGCGTAACACCCTCTTGACTAAACGTTGATGTTTTATTTATTTTTTTTTTTTTTTTAGGGCGGGTTATCTTCAGTGGGTATTTGTCGCTCACCGGTTAACAAAATGTAAAAAAAAACTTGATATACGATTCGTATTACAATCGACCAGCAAATATGAATAAATATTCCGAATGAAAACTTACTTTCAATATGTACGTGTCCTTGGTGGTGATTTCGTGCAGTTCAAAATAATCATCCCAGTCGCTTTCACAGCACACTACACATCGGTCTAGGTACATCGGTTCCTGAAATAAAAAAATCGATTAAAATCTCAACACATTTACCCATCATTAAACAACGACTAGCTTCGTACGCACCTGCAGTTATACCGTTATAATAATTATTTTTCTTAATACTATTAAACAAAGGAAATCCCGACAATGAGAATATTATCAATAGAACGATTAGTTTGAAAAATATTCGTAATCACGATTCATAAATTGACTATCATAAAAAATCTTATGAGATCAATGGAAATTCGAGAAAATCTCTTTTTCATTAAGCACGCAAGGTTTATAACGTTTTAACGCTCTGTATCTTATGAACATAGTTAAACATAATTCGTAGAGTCATCTTAAAACTACTCGCGTTCATACAAACTGCACCAATGTTATTATTGTCATTAGCTGTTATGTTCCCCCAAAAGAAAACGGTATTTTTATTTTTATCATCAAACGTACCCGGAGCAAACTGATCCGGCCACTCTTTTCTTTGAGCAACACCAACGAAGCGTCTCGAATGCCGTTCTGTTTCGGAAACGCGATGTCATCCGCATCCGGGTTATAGTTGTCGTTGGGCTAAACTCGCATAAACACAAACACAAAAAAAAAACAAAAATATTATTATAATACAATAATGCACGGCGCGTTTATTGCCCCCGACTATAATATTATAACGGCAGCAATCAGATAATAATAATAATAATAATAATAATAATAATAAATGAAACCGATATTTCACCTTTCCCAGGGTTACGATGATTGCATTTATCGGCATCAGCTTGATGGTCCTGCCACCCCGCCTCCAGTTGTGATCAGACGGTTGCGTGTAAAGCAGTCGTCCCTCTATGGCGAACCGGATCTCTTCGCCGAGTCCTGACCATTCGAGTACGTCAACAGCCACCTGTTCAAACAACACAATCGTGTATAATAATATCGTTGCTCATCGATGCGATTAAGTGTGTAATCTCAGACGCTTCGAATTTAATGTTTTCGTTCGGAACTATTCGGAATATGATGTATTCTCCATCGTGATTTCATGACATAACGCTACGATGAATGATAGATTAAAACCCCGAAATGTATTCGATTGATGCCGGATATATGTACCGTGACATTTTCACGTCGAATTTTTAACACACGTATATTATTCATTTAGTAACATTACCTGGACACAACACAGCACCTCGGATTCTTACAATTAGAAGGGATACGAACATGTTTTCTACATTTGTCTATACAGGTGGTGTGAAAAGCGCATTGTTAGAAATATTGATGCTGTGTTTGCTACGAAAAAGTTTGTTCTTAAAATCGAATTCCGGAACAGTATATCAGCGAATAGGATTCGGCGCAACCCGGCGATAAGCATTGTAATCCAACGCTCGAAAATAATTATGATTGGTCGTCACAACTCGTGTTAGGCTCAAGACAGTTAAATGCGTTCCCGACACTGCGGTGTAACAGTTTTCCCGTGCTATAGATTTACACTGCAGACGTGTGTTCTGATGTCGGTGATTTACGATCAACAGCCCGATTATCCTGGTGGAATTCTACGTAAATTGCTCGTTTACGGCTTTACGATTTTCTTCGCGAAAATATTAGACATTTTCCGAGATAAAGAGATAAATAGTTTTTGCGCAGCAACAATCGAACGTATCGAAATATCGCTCACGCAATAACGATTAACAACGCGAACATAACGTGCATCGAAAGCCGACGATAGTGTGTAATAAATGATGGTGTTTTACCTTGCGGAACTTGATATCAGCCAGGTCCTCGCTATCCGGTCGTTTCCCGTTGATCGCGTAGATCTTCCGCCACAGTTTCGTGGAGCTGATGTCTTTGGCCAGCTGTGAAACCAACGGGAAAACGTTCGCGTAAGAATGACAATATAATATACGAAAAGGTAAAAAACGAAAAATACTAGCACAGGTACGTGTTTATACTCACCGAATTGATGTGTTCCAGGTGCAATTGTATTTTATGCCTCGCCTCGTTGAGCGTCTGCCTCGCTTCCAGATGGTGTTCGGGCGTGACTTTGTACAGACGGGCCAACAGCAACGGATACTTGGTCACGCGTTGCACGGGCACCTGCGGCGCGAATAAGGACAAACCATGTTAGCGTGTTAACGTGCGACGAAAAATTAATGTACGTCGACGCGTGCCCTCCTCCTTCCCCCGTCACCTCCCATCCAACCGGTGTTCGTCGTCGTCAGTGATGTATTTAGAAATTTCAGGATAGGGTAATTATTATTATTTATTAAAACCTCTATCAATTGCTAGATGTATTATATAAATACAACATTTAAATATTGTTTCAAAATCTATTGACGTGGTTATTTCAGCTTCAATTTCTAATACCGCTAAGACCGATCTCAGATCTTGTGCCATTGTAGACCGTAAATAGTTGTTTATTATTTTTAATGTGGAAAAAGAACGCTCTGCGCTACGATTTGTAGATGGTATACGCAACAGAATATATAAAGCTACTTCAATGTAGGGATAAACACTAGTAAAATCATGTTTTACTTATAAACTGTAGCATCTGAATTGCGGTAAGCTTCAATGATTTTTATACGGCTTTGAAATTGTATACACTCGTCTATAAAACATGTTGATAAATTATTTGGGTGAATTTTGTCAGTGTGTAAAGTACGAGATAAAAATTTTCCGCCCCTCTAAATCTTTAAAAATTTGTAGCTCTGGGCAACGGGGCCCATAGCCCCTATCTAAATACGCTCCTGGTCGTCGTCCGTTACGTCTTCAAAAATCATACGCACCTGCGACAGTTATGCACACTTGTGCAGCGTCTAAATCTGGCTCATATTTAGCAATTTATTGCCCTTAGGCAATGAAATAAAAAAAAGGAACACGTTAGGATTAGCAAATTTAAAACATCAAAATTAACCTCTCCGCTAAATACAGCCCTAGTTCACGGAAGAACTCATTGGTTTTTAGATTTGGAGTTTAACTGCGGTAGGGGCAAATATGAATCATATTTATTATATGAATTTTCAATGATTCCCGGTTACCTGCCACACAAACGGTTAATTTCGAAAAACGGAAAACTCGACGATTTTATAATAACGATGCAATTATTACACCACAGCGTTTACTACAGTGACTTTTTTATTTTTTTATTTACTATTACCCGACTCACCATAAGGAAACTGTTGAGGTTCATCCGGCGCAGTACGGCGTTTTCCATTTGCGACACCCGCAAGAATATTCGCAACAACTCTTTCTCCTTTTCCAGGTTTGCCAATAGCAGAGCGGCGTTACCCTTTTGCAAACAAAAAACACACAAATTCTCATAAGTCTGTATGACTCGTGGTAAGCATAAGACGGAAACATAATATGAACAAATTAAAATATTTCGATAAAAAAAAAATAAATAAAATTTAAGAATTTAGATTTCCGTGAAATATTTGCCGTACATTTTTATGTATTTTTAAAATAGAATAGTTTTCGCGTGCTGGTTTACTTTTCAGAATCAGGATAAGAAATGTGTTCAGTCCGTACAATAGTTCAATTTGACGGCAAAAAAATTTTCGGCGAAGCTAGTTACTTTATTTTTTTTTCATTTAAAATGGTCCCGAACCGTAACAATGATCGGTGTACGACTGGTTGCGTACTTTTCGTAAAAGCACTGCGTCATCGCACTCTGCTCATTGCTTCTAAACCGCGGTGTCGCGTGGTGGACGTACTGTGGATAGAAGTACATACCTGTCGGGTGCAGTACGACTGGAACGCGTGCAACATGGACGGCGAGGCTTCCAGGAACAGTCGACCGATGTTGACGGTCAGGAGGTCGTCATCGCCATGTTCCACGGCTATCTCGTACGCGTCGCGCAGCTTCAGCGACAGCGCAGCGCTGTGCTCCTTCAGCTCGGCCACGTTCAGGAACACGGAGGCCAGCTGGTCGGCGTTCAGCAGACCGGCCACCATCATGGGCCGGTAAAACTCCTCGGTGATGATGTCCAAGTCTCGGCCGTACTTCTCCTCCGTCTCTACGATCTCCGCTATGATCTCCCGGCGCTCGGCCCTACGCTTGTGACACTTGCGGCACACCAGCGGAGCGAACATGATGCCGCTGCGAACAACATGTTATCATCGTAAGCGTTTAACGAACCAGTACTCACGAAAAAAAAAAAAAAAGAAATCGCGGCAAAGTGTAGAGCTTGACTTATTTTAAAAACAGTTCTCGTTTCGAAAACAAATAGTTGCGGCGAACATTTGCCGCACGATAAAAACCGTTCACATTACTAACTTAATTGTGTAACAATTACGCATGTCATTCATTTAAATTAATAGCGATAGATAATTATGTACACGAATTTGAATAGGAGTTTTTGATTTTTCGTACATTATTGTGTAATAATAATGTACCATAAATCTAGTGTCAAACGAAAATATGATCATCATATCGGTTAGGGGGCTGTGGTCAATGTTTACGTGAATGAAAAAATGTTTAAAAATACTGGTCTGGATCATATCATCCAAAGCAGTTAGAACTGTGTCGAAAATATACATACTGCGCTCTAGCTCGAATAGACCGTTGTTCCCCAGACTCTTGTTTCAAAAAGTTATATCTCTGTTCCACTATTATCATATATTATATATTAAATAAGTTATATAACAGTTATAATGGTTACTATTACGAACAATAAAATTTAAGCCTTGTATCCACAGGCGTTGAATACAATATTAAATATGTAATCGATGGTATTTGTAACTGACAAACGTCATGCAACTCACAAGCAATATTATTTTCGTGAGTTGGGAAACGAAATCGATTTTAAATGTTCTAACACTAAGTACTGCAGTAAATAAATCAGAGAAAAGGAAAATTATGAACCTACACATGTTTGGAGTTAAAAAAAAAAAAAAATGAATAACGACTTTTACACGAAGAGAAAAATTCGATATAATATTTTCGATAATTTCAGATTTGTTGTAATGATTTATTAGAAAATACGAGTACATGAAAATAAGGCAGTCTCATATTTTCCTTACGCCCATCGCGGCTACCGATTGACCGATTATTGTTTTCGATTTCACAATTAGGCTACGTTCAGGCGGTGACTGTTCGATTCGATTTTTTCACGTATAGAATTTTATCGAATACGAGACAGCAATTCACACAGGCACAATATTCGATTCTTCACGTACGGATTTTGATGCATGGACATAGCACTAACGACAGTCAACACACAATTGTTATCATAGATTCACGTATTCCACTCATATTTTATTGGTATAGAAATGTTTATAAGAAACGTTTGGTACATCCTCTTTTAGAGAATGTTTCACGACGTGAAAAATTTTTTGAAAAATTTTACTTAAACCTGACTGAGAACAGAAATTTTATAATTATTTTCGTATGCCGATGGCTAATTTTGACAATCTATTATCAAGACTAGAAAAGGATTCTATTATGTTGAAATACTATCGTCTTCCATTTTAAAGAGCTTAACAATAATATGCGTTGAACATACGACTGAACGGATGAACGTAATGAACGAATTCGATGACATTTTGTTCGTGTGAACGACACAATATAAAGACAAACGCTACTTAAACACACATACGATAAAAATACATTCGAGATTTATCGAATCGTAGTGACAAGTTCGTACAGTATACGGAAAAAAATATTTCGCAAATATGAAATTTTCATGCTCGGGCTTCGTATGAACGTACAAATATAACATTCGCTGCCATTGCTCTTTTCGATAAAATCCCGTATACGGTATACGAGAAAAATATCGTCGTCTGAACGAGCCTTACGGTGTAAGTACGGTGTTTTGTAATGTTATCACCTGATAGGTTTTAGCAAGGTATACGGTGGAGTGCAGTTATGGTGTGTTTCAGTGGCGTAACTGGGAAAAAATCTAGGGGGGGCAATACAATATATTTATTATTACCAAAACCCTGACACCCCTCCCCCTCACCAGTTACAACATATTTTTATTGTATGTATTTTATACACTATATCTAATTATTTGATTTTACATAAGTCTTTTAACTCATTTCATGGTTTATATAAACATAAATTGTAGGTAGCATGTACTAGGTACCAATATTGTTAAATAATATCCATAAGAGTTCATTAATAAAAGGTGCTATTTGAATTGTTGGATTATCTTAAGAGGAGGGAGCAAAATTATATCTTTATCTCTCAAAAAATTGTCAGAGGAGGCACTTGCCTCCCCCCCCCTAATTACGCCACTGGTGTGTTTTATTTTTATCGAGATTACAGGAAAAATTATCTTAAAATTGTCCACGCTAAATTGTAGCGATAAATTAACATCAATTACACACACATAAAACTATAAAATATGAACTTTCATGCGGCGCCGATCGGCTAATCACAACAACAAAGTTGTACGTTGAAATGCTTCTAATTATTTAATTGCCGCACTTGATTATAATTTAACAGCATTAAATAAAAAATATTTTTAGATTAAAAAAAAATCCACGTGATACTCGAGTAATTAAAACAATTAATTTCTGGCCATTACCGAACGTCTTATCGAAGACCCGTTGTTGCGTGTGGTGGACGAGCGCAATACGATTGCAAGCACTTATTAGTCATCTACACATGACAACACGCATTCTGATTCGGATTTTTCGTGAATGTCACTCGTTGACCCGATTGCGCTGTGACGGTCCAAATGGTATACGTGTATCGAAAACTCGTTTATGAAAATGTCTATAATTGGTTTCATAAATTAACGGTCACGTATCATGTGTTGGATACGAACATATAACGATCAATGGTAATCTAAATGTTACTGAAAACAGGAAGTGTCGCAGATTTTGAATGCATAACGTCAGCTGTACGGCCGGCGTTGATGCTTTTATAGCGTTGTACAAGTTCAAAGTCGAAGGTCATGCTGAGAAAAAAAATCCAGAAACGCCAATATATATTGGTCTGCAATATTTGCATTACGTGTAGTCTCATTCAATGTGGTTTTCAATATTTTTTTTTACGCATCAACCGTTAAAATATATTTATAAGGTCTATGTACGGGGGCCCTTGTCTTGCAGCCCGTTCTGTTGTGTTATATGAAGACAACACGTTAAAAAACTGAACGTAAGCCTTTAGTCCGTTTAGACGTAGGTTAAGTAAGTTTACAATCGCGACTGGAATACGTAGAAACGACAACGCTTGTTCACGTAAATAGCATGTTTTTTGTGTGGATAGTCGTAGTATACATATATTATACTATATGTAGCTACAGTATTCGTTTTCCTTTTGTACAACTGTGTTTACATGTATATAAATATATAGATTGTGTTATTTTGCGTACCTTCTAATACATAATATTATGCCTACCAAGGACAACTCTACACAAACGCGCGTGCGCAGCACATACTTTCTCGGTGTTGCGTATACTGATCTGATGGTACATAATACATAATAATAGATTGGTATTCTAATAAAACGTATAAACGTGACTTTGCGAAAATGCCGTTCGGTTCGATTTCCTCCATACCCCCGCTCGTCGTGCACTCGGATATCGTTTTTTATACGGTTTGCGCGCATGTATATTGTATATTATACGGACGAGAAAGAGAGCCCGGAAAAACTATTATAATATGCGACTATTTACGTGCACCGCTAATATGGTAAGCCACCCGTTTACCCCGTACATGAATATAATATACGGCTGCTTAGACGATCGTCGAGCGATATTCCAGCGGGTGTATCGACGAGGAGAAACGTGATATTAATATGGAGAACAAATCATTATGGCTTCCGGTGTAAGGTGTGCGCTGAAGCGCGAACGAACACAAAATATTCTTTCGATAAGGGTTTATGTAAGGACTCGAAACGTAGACTAAAAGTCGAAAGACGTTATATCCGTAAAAAATATCGTATACGACATTTATTTCACAAAAGTAAACGTAGGACCGTGGGAAACAATTTTTTGGAAAGTTTTTTAGGTTTAATCGTTGTCCTTGCACCCTCCGCTCCTTCAAAGTAAAAGAATTGTTCGCAGAATGATATTTTTTTTTTTTGTCGTATAATCTGTCTTCGTGACGCGATGGACGAGAATCGCCAACTCTAAAGTCTGTACACTTCTGAGAGAGGATGAGGAGGACCGTTCAGGGAGTATTTATGAGGGAAACGGACATGCATGTCGGATACTGTTTTTCGAGAAGGGTTGTTGATGTATCCCGCGGACATATTGTTTTATCTGTGAAATCGATCATGTAATCATGGAAACGTGAGGCTCCGCACGGACGACCGAGTGCAATGGTGTGTGTTTATATAGAGCGCTGCTGGCAATCTAGTTTGTCGTACACGTGGACCGTGTAATTTCCAGTGGACGATAAAAAAAAAATAAAAATAAAACGTTTCGAACGAATGCGATCGTTACTGTTGGTTTTGTATATCACTACGACGATATGGTTACATTGGTGGCGGACGGTCTCTATAGAGCATCTAAAGAATTACATTTTTTTTTTTTCAACAGCCTATATTACGCTACATACGATAAGATACCGACACGTTGATGTCAGGGAGACGTTATGTAGTTTGGATTATCAAAAATCACTGTCGTCACTCACCTGTCGGTCGTTTGTACTTCGACTGGTTGATCGCAGTCCTCGCAACTGTGCTGCGTCTCGTGCTGCTGCTGCCACTTGCTGCGCGAACTCTGACTCGTCTCCGAACCGACTCCCGAATCGTTGCGCTCGATGTCCACCGTGGCTTTTTTGGCCACGTCCACTGTGGCCGACTGCAGCGTGGCCAAAGTTGCTACGCCGCCAACACTGCCACCGCCACCGCCGCCGCTGCCGTATTCCTCACCAGAGTCGTTGCACGTGCCGTTGGCCTCGGACTCGGACGCGCCGTGTTCATCGGCCACCACCACGAACTTGGGATGGCAGCTGGTGTCGTGCAGCGAGCCACACCGGCGTTTCGCGTCCACCAGGTAATTGATGATGTCGTACTTGGTGGCCCCCTCGAATATGGACCGGGACGGTAAGGTGGCCGGCTCGTGGTGGTCCACGCGGTCGGGCGGCGGGCACGAGGGCAACGGTGGCGGCGTGGGCGATTCCGATATCTCCTCGTAAATGGGCTCGGTGTCGTAGTGATTGTGCTGCGCCGGTGATACGCAACCGTTGCGGACGGCCGCGGATGAGCACGTTGACGAAAACGAGGACGACAGCGAGGACGCGGACGACGATGACGACGACGTGGCCGACGAGTACGACGCGTCCTCCTTGGCTGACGCGTAACACGACTCGGAACTGGACTCGGTGTCATCGGACGACGGTACGCGCTTCTCGATCTCCGACACTCTGTACGGGCTGACCAGCGACGTGGCTGCGGACCTGCGGCCGCACACGTGCGGCGTCACGTCCAACCGGGCCGCCTGCACCGGGTCGTAGTTCATCCGGATGAATTCGGACATCCGCGAGTCCGCGCGGTCCACGACCGTCACGTTGCTCCGGTAGTTGCCCACAGCCCTACCACCGCGACCCGCGCACTTTGTCGGCCCGATGCTGATGGTCACCTTGTTGTCTGACGACGCCGCGTACGCCGCGCCGCCCTCGCCGATAATCACCGACGTCTTCAATCCCGGACTCGAGTTGATCAATATGGACGTTTTCTGTTCCGGTTCCGCGGGATATCCCGCACGGTCGCCGGGCTCCTGGGATGGCGAAACTTGCACCACCGTCCTATTCTCGTCGTTGGCGCATCCACTGGCCGCGCCATCCGTTCTGCTTTCGTCGCGCAGAAACAGTTCGGTCACCGTTGGCGAGGACGGCGGCACTTGCGCCGGTACTGGTGGCGCGGGTGGTGGCGGTGGCGGAGGAGGTTCAGCCGGTCTGTCGAACGCGGCCCGGGTGTCCGGTCTGGCCTTGTGTCTTACGTGGATCCGCATCGTATCGTTGAACACCGTCACCTCGTCCGACCCCGACCCATTACCGGAATTTTGTCTGTCGCTCAGGCTCCGCTTCAGCTTCCGTTCGACGGCAGCCATGATCACATCAGTACCTAAAATACGCGTGAATATATTATACGTTTTGATATTAAATTACGAACCCTTAGTTATGAACTGGAAAACTTTACTTTATGAATTTTTTGATTTTACGTACTTTTTCGTAATAACATGAATCCGTATTTTTTATAAGTCACACATAGGCACCTAACTAGGGCAATCTTAAATTAAATCTTTAAAAAATTAATTTACAAATTTGTTTTACTAAGTATTAAAAACATTCTGAGCTTATGGTGTTTATGCATATTGAATAAATCTATTATGATAACTACTCGAAAATACAATTTATTAAGATATCGATTATTATATAACTTATATAGAGATATATTATTTTTTTATTACATTTTATAATCGTAGAATAGGTTATCTTAAAATAAAATATTGGATCTGCTTATAGTAGATATGATGTGAAATAAAAACTAGTGTTAAATAGTTTCTTCTATAGATTCTACAAGTTTCTCATATAAAACAAATTATGGAAATTGATACAAGGGTTCGTATGTTTTTGCCCCTCCCCTCCCACAACTGACTACATTCCTGGAAATACACAGTGAGAGGTTAAATACTTCTTTCCTTATAATTTTCGCAACTAAGGTACTGTATTGTAGGTAGTATTTCCGTGGTTATAATAAAAGGATGTGGAATCAAAAAACGGAAGAAAATATCCTGAGAAGTGTAATGACCAAAAATAAGATTACGTAGAGCTTCGCAGGAATTTTCGTTGATTTTGAGAAGGCAAGTCGAACCAGTGCATAACGTAAACTGACAAGGTCATAGCGGTGCACGAATCAACTTAAAAGTTGCAACGGATTTTTTCCGTTTTCGCTCGTTCACGATCGTCTTCGATACGGTTCGTAATTTCGTTCTGAACGACACGCAGTCGTACTAATGTGTTTTTTGTATTATAAACAAGTACTTAAAAAATATATACATGCGTGTAATGCGTGAATGATCTATACACGTGCCTGAGAAATCGCGGGAACCGTTGTTCCGGTTAATTCCTCACAAATTAAATCGCGTGATTTACGTGAATTATATTGTATGTACGATCAAAGAGTCTTCAGGCTTGTACCGCATAGCCACCAAGCTCCGTCCCCACGAATAACCCTCCCGTCCATCGTGGTAAGATGTCGTAACGCGTGCACGAATAATCGAAGGGAAACCTGTTTTTTAAACGATATCATCGTACGAGTCCGTGCTCAATGACACACTATCACGAGTTCTCCTCGCCTACACCACCGCTACTACCCGATGATCACTGTGTGGTCTGAGCATGAATCCCTTTCACCGACTTTGCTTGACTTGACTTGGCACTAATAGAAGAGCGCCCACGCGATCCAACCGTAAAACAATAGAAATTGCTTTTCATCGTCCAAATGCAAGACGGATCCGGTATTGTACGGATGGCTGTAGTGATTATAACTAGTGATATACTCGTATTATTTATAAATTATGACGCGAAATTCATATGCTACACTTTAAATAGGCACGTGAATCCGAATGATGGTAAAATACGTATAGGAAAAGGGATAGGGTTCGTTTATATAATATAATTTATATATATATAGACGTGCGCACGTGAAGTGCCGGTTGTGGTCGGTCACCCCCCAAAATGTTGTCAATGGACCTTTCAATTTAATTCTAAGAGTTAGGGATATTTATTTTAACTGATGTTGCTCAAATTAAATGTAATTTATTCTAAAATACTCAGTAAAAAAATAATTGGTTCGTAATATAAGAAAAAGCTAAAATTTCTTAATGTTCATATAAAAATGTTCTTGTTGTAATATAGCAGCTACAATTTATTACAAGAGCACAAATTATAAATGATTGAAGCTAACAGAAAAAAATATACGAGATTCTCCGAAAAAATATTCTTTGGGGCTAATAAACCACAATATTAAATAAAAAATTAAAAATATGTTTATTTAATTATTTATATATTATAATTTATTAAATGTACCTACACGTTTTGTTAACACATGTTAAGATGGGGCCCAAAAGTATTGTAAGCACCCTCTAAAATATGTCTACGCACGCCCATATAATCAATGAAATACTAGTATGTAATTTTAATGTGATGTGGTGTATACCGTTAAAAATATCATCATTATTAACTATACGGTGTACGTCCCCCTACGGTTCGGTGTTCGATATTTTTTTCTCGATATCATGTCAAAGACTATTTCGATCGATAAACTTACCGATTGAATCTTTTCGGTTGTCTTGTTGCTGTTGTTTAGTCGACGGCGTCATCGTCATCTTCGAAATCGGTGACGTTGATATTGTGTTTTCAATACAAATTTCCGGTACCGGTTCCGGCGGCCCATTGTTTGATTTCTCGTTGACATCAGATACAATGTCGAATTGCACTTGTTTTTTGGTCTTCTTTTGCATCCCGTTACACGTTGGAGCTGCGGGCAAAGCGACCGGAGTCCGAGACCTGACCGGACTCAAATCGTCCGTGGTCAAGGATGTGGGCTTCTTCAAAATGGATTTGATCTCAGCAAGTACGGGCGTCATACCGGTGGTCAATGAATGCGATCGCTTGGTCGGGCCGGATGCACCGACGCCGGACAAGGGCTTACACCGGCGCCGCGGAGGTCTGACTGGAGATTGATCTTGCATGTTGTTGGTGTTTTTGATGGTAGCGGTGGTGGTGGTGGTGGTATTCGGCAACGTATCCGAAGCCGACCCATCGTCGTACCATACCGAGGACGAGTTTTTTCGGTTGGTCGTATTTTTGCCGTCCTTTAACAGCCGAACCTGCAATCACGTATAAAAACGGCAAATATATCATTATCGCGTTGGATACACTACAGATACACTAAACCGATCAAGGGTTAGGAATAGAAAACAATTAACTACTTGAGCTAAGCTTACCGTGTGTCCGGCGATATTGACGCCACTGTTGGTCGTCCAGTCCGCGGCCGCGGTCTTTTTGACCGAACCGTTTGAAGAGAACGAGCCAAATCCGCCCACGTTCGTACTCTTGCTCTTTGTAAACACGACGGTGTCCTGTATCCGATTCATGAACTTGTCTTTGAGCGATAACCTTCTGGGGCGGCCATCATCCTGGTCGTCGTCGACGTCGTCGTCGTCGAAATCTTCGTCGTCGGGCTGCCGCAACAAGTCGTACGGGTTGACGTTGCACTCAAGAATCGAACGACGCGAAGACAACATCATGAGGTTCGCGCTTCCACCGACCGTGTCGTCGTAGTCGGGCGACGGTGTGCGCGGCGAACTGCTCCGGTTCCGTTTCCGGTCGAGTTTTCCGGCCGCCGCCGTCGCACCCGCCATACGATTCTTACGGACGCGTTCGTACGGGTCCTCGGCCACCGCGATCGGTGCCGTGTTGGCCGCCATGGCTGCAGCCGCAGCGGCGGCGGCCACGGCTGCGGCGGCGGCCGCCGGGCCGAAGTGCTCGCGGCCCAGAAACGTGCTGCGCGCCTTATTCCGGACACCGTCACCGCGGCCGTGACCCACCGTGCCGCCAGCGTCACGCTCGTAAAGCCAACCGTCGGCGTACCGCATCGACTTGGACAACGCGCTGCCGGCCGAAACGCTGTTGTACTTGGTCGCGTGATGCGGCCGGTACCCGTTGCGGTAATGACGGTGACGGAGCGAGTGGTCACCGTCGGCACCGGCCATCGCCGGGCCCGGCGACGTTGCCATCACCGCAGTCGCCGGTTGTTGGAAGCGTTCGAGCATTGCCACGGACGCGGCCATCGTCGTGTCACCGTCGTCGTCGTAGAAAACCGACTGACCGGTAGCGCGCGCACGTCTCACGTCGGCACCGCCGCTGCCGCGGCCGCCGCCGCCACCGAAATCAGTGCGGCGGCATTGGACTATCGCCGTCGCCGCCGTCGTTGTCACCGGTCGTCTGTCCTGCACTGATGTGATCGAATGTTGTCGCCGCAGTTGGTTGTTGTTCATCTGCACCAATCTGTCGGCCCACGGTGGTTATCATCTTACGGGATACCGACCTGAACACGCAATTTTATTGTTAGTTAGTTTTTCATCAATATTACGTTGTTTAACATTTTTAAAATTCTATACTTTTAAACCATTTGTCTAGACATCACGGAAGACTTGGTAGAGAAATAATAAACAAATATGTTCTATTAACGGAAATTAATTCTAATTCATAATATATCATCATGCCTACGGTTAAATTAATTTACGGTTTAAGTAATTTAAAGTCAATGATATATATAATACAATTATATTTAATATAACCTTTATAACTACTAACATGATTAGTACACGATTCCCTAGACCTATCAAAAACAATGGAAGAGATGATGAATTACTCTATAACCATATGTACCCCTAAAAATAAATCTTAGCCTTTTTCACTTAATAAATAGAACCATTTCTATTCGAGATCAAGTTTTTTCTTTTCAGAATAAATATATTGGACTCATATCTTATTTTACTCTTTCGTTGATTATATTAAATAATGTCGTGTCAATCAGAATACAGTTTATTGATATACCTAATCCGAAAATGTTAGTATTATCGCTATTGTTATTTTTACAAGTTGATTAAAAAAAATAACGTCATACGAGTGGTTTTACATAATAACATTTTATACGGTGGTTAATATAGTAAATAATATAAGAACGGTACATTATTTTAGATTCAGTAATTTTAATAAGAATTCGAAAATCTGTTAATTTTTTACTGAGATATTTTATGTGCCTCTTTAATTAAATGTATATCCTCTATAACGTTGTGTTAAAACCTAATATTATAATATACACTATGTTAGTAAATGTTTTTCTAAGACGTGTAAAAAAAATTCTACCAAACGTAATGAAATACCGTAGAGTTCGAATATAATAATTATATTGTTCGCAAACAACGTTATTATTATTTTTAATCGTATATAGATATGATGAAAAAAAATCACTAAAAATGAATGGAAAGATATATTTTCAGATATTGGCAATAATATAAACATGTTATTTTTACTACAATGATGAAGTCGAAAAATACGTAGAACTATGGCGTACGATAATCGAACGGATCCTGACAGATATTAACTAAAGCTATTATACCTTTTAGCTTTTTTTCGCGTATAACGTGTCGGTCGTGCGCATATACCGTCTTTGGTAATAGAAACTATGACACACGGGCGCATAATATAATCGAATAAAACAAATGTGTTGGAAGTTTTTCGCGGATTACAAAATGACGTTACATTTGAACTATTATATCGAACAAAAAACGATCGATGATGCGATGAGCGGATACGTATACATAATCTCTTGCAATCCATCAATTTGCCACGTGGTGTTAGCACCGCGGTTTCCTAACGTTGTAGTTCAAAACGTGATATCGTGTTCCAATGGGACGCAAAAGATTTGTGAGATTTGGCACGCTTTAAAATTCTCTGTAACATTTATAAGTGGATCCAGTGAAATAATACATTATAATACATTAATACGTCGTAAATGCGATACACTATATACATATATTCTAAATCGTGTACGTAACATATGTACGAGAATATGAATAATAATAAATTTTGTTTATACCGGCGACGAAACGACTAAAATTTGTTTGTAACGCGTATGGAAAGAAAGTGATAAATGGCATTATTCCAATGTTTATCGCATATTATAATATTATATAAACTATATTGTAATAGGTATTTGATTTTTTGTAGACTCAAGATGTGGTCACATGTAAAAAATGCGGTGGATTCATCTCCTACGACAAAATAAAAAATATAACGAGCACGTGAGCTTTTAATCCACTCATTAACTCATTATAGTACCACAGATTATATTATATTATATTAGTTTAATATAATCTGTGATAGTACTATGTAGAATCTACATTGTAAATTACGTGCATATTTCGAACTGGCCAGGCGCAACGGTTATCACTAAGGACAAAATATGCACAAAAAATCCTCAAAATATGCTTCTAAAAATGCTGTAATATGCTATAAAATATGTATTTATTTTTAAATATGTACTTAAATATTCACTTAAAATGTTGTTTAAAATTATGTACAAATATATGAAATGAATCATAAATGTAAAAATAAGTATTAATTAATACGGTATTAAAAAAAAATATAAAAAAGCTTTTAAAATATTTTGTCGTCAAGTCAATACATGAATTCTAAATTATTTATCCATATATATATATCTGTTGTATATGACTATAATATGAGGTATGAGTATGTAATCTTATCTTTAGAAATAAATGACCGGTCACCAAGGCCGTAACTGGGAGGGTCCAGGGATCAGGACCCCCTCCCCCCGAAATTCCTATTTCCTCCTCTGATCACAAGTACAGTTATACTTGTACAGTACAACTTACGCATAAGTTATAACTTATACAAGTACAGGTAATAGAAAAAAGTTATTTTTTTTTACTTTTAGATCAGTCAAAGATATGTTTACTTTTTTTTCTCTCCACGCCGAAATCGTACATATTGTTGTAATGTAGGTGAATCGTTCCGAATCAATATTGGGCCCAAAGCGCTCTTGTAACGTTAAACAATTCATGACAAAAAACATTTTAGCACTGATCGAAATATATAAATCATGTATTAAGGAAAGTTCCAGTCGCTCATCAAAAATCGCGTAACAATTTTATGATACGTTGCTCATTACTATATTGATTAAGTAATTTGTATCTGATAAAAGGATTTAACGTACAGATTGATTAATAAGTACAGCCTGTGATTACATAACGCATTAGAAACGTATATTTTTATTGACGACTTTCTTTCGTGAACTTTAGCGCAACACTGTAGACTCAAGCGATTCAAATATACATAATTAATCAGAAAAAACCCAATATTATTGATATTTCCTATTCAGATTTATATTTATATAATTCTCATTTGAACTCGAGTTTTTTTCCTTTTGTGTTTCAAATAATCAATACTTTATCGTACCGATACCTCCATACGAACGTATATCCCCCCCCCCGCACCCATAAATTTGTTCTTATTCAATATGTAGGTAATTGTAATGCCTGTAGCGTTGAATTTTTTTTTTTTAAATATGTTGAAACATTTCAATTTATATGCTGTCATTTCTGTTAATGATTAAGTATTTAATTTAATTTTTATTATTGAGTGTACAATATTAAAATAACTAGTTTTTCATTTCAAAACAGTTTACCGTCATTACAGTAGATGTGGTAACCACACCTTGTATTGTTAATTGCCAGCTTTATTTTTAAAAAGCTCCGAGTATTATATTATGCAATGTTATTATTTTTATAATGAATCGTTTGTAAAAATATTACTAAACGAGGATAATAATGCTGTAAATTGCTTTTCGAAAATATTAATTCCTAAATTTTTTAAAAAATAAAAAATGTAATAAGTAAAATATAATAATCCATTTGTAGAACTTTTATAGATTCGAGTTAAAAAATACAATAAACGTACATTATACGCGTCTCATGTTGAGTAAAGAGACCAAATATTTTAAAAACGATTAACTATGCTGAGACTTGTTGTAAAACTATTCATGTTAATAAAGAGAAATTTATACTAATCATCTCCTCAAACCACAACTTGTGGGGTACAACGTGGATATTAACCATGTTGGTATCCGAAATGATTAAATTTACTTTGAAATGGTGTAAAAACAGTTCATACGATAGACTGTGGACTACATTATTCTTCCATGTTCTCAGTATATTGCATTACATGATTACAAATAGAAACATATTTTCTCAAGAAACTGAAGAAAAACAACAGAAATATTCGACCGTTTCAGTTTAATTTGAGTTCATTATATTTTAAATATATGTTGCATAGATTATCATGTATATTCGCATTTAGTGTCAAAATTAAAAAGATTACCGTGTAGAATTAATAACTTCGCTAGCTATACAATTTAATTAAAAACACTGATTTTAAGTATAAAATTTTTTAGTTTCTATCAGTAAGATCACAAAATGTATTATTTAAAACATTTAATGTATTAAACGATTTGTTGATTTACATTTTTTTATTTTTTATTCATTAAAAATTAAATAAAGTCAAGTTCATTTTTCCCAAGTATCAATTTATATTTAACCCCATGTGCAATTCACCATATAGAATATTAAAAAAATGTAGGATTCGGTCGGTGTTATCTACTAAAAAACCGAAATCAGGTCTTAAATAGTTTCTTGGCCGCAGACACTGTAGGTTAAACAAAATAGTGGTTTGATATTATAATATTTCTCAATAAAACCGCCATATTTTCCACTGTGTGTTTTACCACGTATTGTACAATGTATTACGTTTGTAGTACAGCGAATAAAATATGCGTTTGGATTAACAAACAACATTTTCTTCACTATTTTATTATTCGGTCAACTAATCAAAAGACATCGTTGTGTTACACCATAACATAATTCTGTTTCATTTCAAATCCACAGTGCAGAGGTGTTTACAGCTGAGTGGAGACCAAATGATTCTTAACTACTCAGATAGTTTGTAATTTAACGCACAATTCATCATACCCCGGCGCTTATAATGCATAGAACTAGTGTCATGAAAATACGCTGATATCATAATTATTGTTGCTTATCGAACAAAGTTAATCTAGCCGTAGAAGGACAGAAAAACTGAATTATTACCGTTCTCATATAAAAATGTATAATTATATTTGATCATAATCGACGTATATAAATATGCAAAATATAAACAAAATCGTGTAGAGATTTAAATAAACGAGATTACGTATTTCACTATATTTCTGTACCGATGCTGACATGCACTTCTACGGCGTAGAGAAATTTCTGTATCTTTCAATGTTTCAACATAATACAGTTATAATCTTCAATCGATTTGAGCAGCATGGGCGAATGTACAGTTTGACATACATAAACTTATCGCAAAAATAAATTATCATCCAACAAAGTGACGTTTAGTTGATGTTACCTTTTTGATAAATTGATTTGTTGACTCATGAATATGTATTGGCGCTTGTGTAGATAATGCATAACCAATTTGATT